ATACTTCTTCTGTGAACATCTTTGAAGATTTCCTCGCCCTTGGTTTGCTCGTTGCTTTGCCATTCCTGCTTCCTGTGCTGCAGTAATTTAGGGGGCCATGACTAATTGCACTTTTCCATTTAATTGAGAACTTATTTCTGATTTGGCCTCTATGTGTGTAGCTGTAGCTTGTGCAGCCTGGTTGGTGCCTTTCTGCAGCCCCAAACACACCTGACGGCTCTAAGAGCTCCCTGGAGAACTCAGAGAAGATGTTTGGCCCACATCGTTGCTTTTCCTTGGGAGGCTCTCAGTGGGATGAAGCCCCCCCACCCGCTCTGGGTGGGATGCAGCCTGGAGCAGCAGCGAGGGAGTGCACAGCCCTGCCTCGGCCTGGGAGCTGCTGCGTGCACGGATCTCTGTGTGTAAGCTGAGATGTCTCTTTCTGTGCAGTGCTCCCACCGAGCGCCTCTGGGCACTCAGCTCCCTGACCCTGTAGCTCCTTACTCTCATCTCTGCGATTTGGAACAAAGCCATCCCCAGGCGCCTCGAGCACACAGCCCCTGTCCCCGTGACGTGTAGAGCAGTCCCCATCATGCTGCAGACAGCAGATAATAATGCATGGCTTTGTTTGTCCCTACGTGCCTGCACAGCGGCACTAACGCTGCAGTGTGAATGGTGCTGCACAGAGGGGCTGCAGAGGGGTCACCATGGCCCCAGTCACAGCGCTCTGCTGTTGGGCAGCGACCTCTGAGTGTCACAGAATGAGCACTGATCCTCAGAATAATGCTTCTGTTAGAGGCCGGATGATAAAGGGACTGAACTTGCCCTGAAATTCGGGAAGTAGAAGGTAATCAACACTGTGCTGATGTTTGCTCCAGTTCTCTGCCATGGGAAGTGCTCCCTGCATGAGGTTACTGCTGCTGTGTGTGGGGCTGTCCTGGTTAGCAGAGCTGTGGGGTCAGGGGTGCAAAAGGCACTCAGTGCTTACCCAGAGGGCTTTCTTCTGCCTCAGTCAAGGAACCAAGGCAAGTCAACGTGGGATGGCTGCAGGCACAGGGACAGCAGTGCCAGGAGCAGGTTCTGCTCTGTGCTGGGACATCTGCCATGGAGCTGGGCTGGGGCAGGTGGGTGCGGGGGGCCCTCTGCCACCAGCAGGGCTCAGGCTGACTCACAGCACCTCCCACTGGTGCTGCTGCTCAGAATAAACCGGTGGCCAGACCTATGTCCGTGGGAGCCAGGAAGACTTGGTAATACAAGCAGAAATGAACGAAAATTAAAAGGATGTATTTTCTTTGAATCAATTGGAGGTGAGCTGGGCTAAGCTGGGAGCCTGAGTTGTCAGCCACACAGAGATCTGCTGGGTGCTCTGAGGAAGGGGAACTCCTGGTGCTGCTCTGGAGTTGTGCTCACAGCAGGTGTGACTCAAGGATTTGCTCCCTCCAAGGCTGCCAGTACAGAAGGTCCATTCATGCCCTTTGGTTTGCAACAAGGAATTCACACAGATCCTTTGTGATGGTTAATATATTATCTGGACGTTGTGTGTGTGTGTGTGTGCCATATACAGTGCTTCATCTGTGCCTTGTGCAATAAACAAATCCATAGCAGCAAGAAAGATAAAGCAGTCATGTAATTATGGCTTGTGATACCAAGTCAAGTAATAAATGGACCTTGAGCATTGCTGCTTGAGGGCAAATCTGGGAATCCTCTCCTGCAGCACCTGGGCTCTGATGTTCCAAATACCCACTGCAGCTTTACAGAAACATCTCTGTGTGCCCAGCCCATCCACCCAGTCTGGCTGAGTTTGTGGCCCCAGAACTGGTGCTGGTGTGAGGAGGGCTGGGTGCAGCAGTTGGGCTGACAGTATTGCAGCCTACGTGGAGGTAATGACTGCGGCCCGCAGCCTTGCATCCACACTGCTTGTTATTTGATATCAGAGCAAGCCTAACTCAGTAGAAAACACTCATTTTTATTATTTTTAATGCTGGATTAGCTTTCTGCTGACGTCGCTCCCTGGGCCAATTTGCTGCAGGACTGGAGAGCCAGGGAATGTGGCAGCGTGTGGCAGAGCACAGCACTGTGGGACTGATGTGCACCAACAGCAAGAGGGTGCTGCAGGTGACGGATGGCCAGGAGCAGCCAGGGATGTCTGTGGGTCTCAGAGGCAGCATGGCCAGTCCTATTCAGTGCCCAACCGACTGACTGCTTCAATGGAAGATGGCCAAGCTGCTTATAAAAGTTGAAGCAAGCAAATATCAGGAGGGACATGAGCCTTTACCCGCAGGCAGGAGGATGTGGAAGTTTTATTGTTTTTCCTTTGGTGGTGTTCTTTTACACTTTGGATGCACAATCCCAGCAAAACTTGGCTGGGATACATCCATGGCTGCTTCCCACTGCCTGCTGCCCTGCTCTGGTCCTGCGTGCAGAGCTCGAATACACTGATGAATGCAGCGTAAGCAGGAAAAAGGGGAGCACAGCACGACTGGATGCATTCATTGCTGCCCGCGTGGGGCCTTATTTGAGTCCTGTGGTGTGTGTGATATTTCATGTGACAGAGCTTTGCAATGCTTCAACTCTGTCCTGTCCACGAAATGACAGTCTGAGCATCATTGCTTTCTATAGATCTGGAATGGTGGCAAAAGAAATTTAGCTTCCAGCCCCAGATATTCTGATCCTCTAAGGCGGTGTCCTACAAACTCAGGTACGGGCTCTTCTGTATTAGCTGCAAGTGCTGGAACACTTTCTTCATAGGAATGATAGGGATGTGGAAGGATAAAACCAAAATATGCGCTGCTGAGGTTTGTACAGTGTAGAAAAAAAAGGAGCATAATCCAAATAGCAACATCGAGTGCTTTTACAGGGCTCCGTGCATATGGCATAAATGACAGCTAATTAAACTTTATATCCTGCCTGCAAGATAAGCATTAATTAGTATTACATCCCTTCTGTAATTAGGAGACCGCATGCAAAAAGCTGCGCCTGCAAACTGCGCTGGGAGGTGGTGACTCAGCCCCACTCAGGCTGCGCTGCGACGGCTGAGAAGGTCGCGCATCCGACCTGCCGGAGCGGGCGCTGAGGTGGGCGGCTGTGCCACGGCCCAGCGAACACGGCTGGATTCACTTCCAGCACCGCCAGCCCCACGGCTTTGTGCAGAAGCGCCCGCTTTCCCGTCTGCAAAAAGCACGACGCTGGCTCCGGCTCGGCGGTGCGTTTCACGGCTGACTGGACAGGAATGCCGCCCGGCGGCCGCGCTCCATCCGGGCTGGGTCTGCCTGCAGAGCGGGGTTCTGCCCGCTGTGCTGAGCGCTGGGAGCGGGGCGCGGCAACCAAGTGATCTCTGTCCCGAAAGCGGCTCCCGCTGGCTGCACGCGGGTGGGCTGGGCCAGCCGTCCCGGAGCGCGCCTGCCCACCCTGCCGCGGGGCTGGGGGCGCGCTGCTGGGACGCGCTGCTGGGGACGCGATGCAGGCGTTCGCTCTGCTGTTTGCCACCAGAACGCGCGTTCTCACACCCACGGGGCCCGCACAGCGTGCGTCCCTGTATCACTACTGAGGGACTGCTCCTGCCCGACTTTTGGCTGCCAACGCAAAACCTGAGAGCAGCGGGAGCCGCCCCGTGCCCGAGGTTCATCCCAGGAGCTCGCGGTGGGGGACTGTCCACGCGCCCGCCGCGTTCATCCAGCAGGGCGGCCGTCGCACGACGCGCTGTAAGGACGGGGTAGCGGGGCCTGGCGGCACGTCCCGCCGGCCAGTACCAGCGCCGCGCCTCAGGTGCCGCCTCGCGGGCTCATTAACGGGCGCAATTAACGCGGGCAGCAGCACAGCCCACAGCGCAGACGGAACGAGACACGTGGACCGCGCGGCGCGCGCAGCCCCGCGAGACCACCCGCACCGCGCTCACACCGCCCCCCATTGGCTGAGCGCGGAGGGGGGGGTGTGGCAGCGGCCGCGAGGGGCGCGGCGAGACGCGGGCGGCGTGGCGCCGCGCTG